GTTCTCTTCAAGAAGTTTTATACATTTTTATTTTTATTTTTATTTTTATTTCTTTATTTTTTAGCCAAGAATGGAAGTTTTGTTTTTTTTAAAATCTTTATTTTTGAGAGACGAGATAGCATGCAGGTGGTAGAGAGTGGAGCAGAATTTGAGCAGGCTCCACACTGCAGTCTGAGCGGATGTGGGGCTTGAACTCATGACCTGAGATCACGACCCATGAGCAAATCAAGGATTGGGACATTGAACCAACTGAGCCAACACACCACCCAAGAGTTTTATATTTTTGAGCTGTTATGTTTAGGTTTATGATCCATTAGAATTCATTTTGTATATATGATGGAAGGTAAGAATTAAGGTACCTTTTTCTTGCATATGGATGTCAGTTGTATTCAACAAATGTTAATTGATTTGGACATGGTGCTAATCCAGCAATAAATATGAACAGTCTATACTATTAAGAATATCCTGGGATAAGCCGTGAAAGCTTACAAAACATAGAAGTTGTGGGGCACCTGAATGGTTCAGTGAGTTAAGCGTCGGACTCAGCTCAGTTGTGATCTCTCACTGTTCACTGAGTTTAACCTTGTTGGGTGCTGTGCTACGACAGCTCAGAGCTTCGGACCTGCTTCCGATCGGCTCTCCTCTGTGTCCTCTCTGCCCCTCCCCTGTTGCATTCTGTCTGTCTTCAATAAATTAAAACGAATAAACGATTAAAGATCAAAATTAAAAAAAAAAAAAAAAATAAACATTAAAATCAAAGATTTAAAAAGCAACAAAAATAAATAAACATTAAAAAAACATCAATAAACTTAAGGCATGGTATGATGCATGGGAGTATAAACATATAATGGTTGAGTATTCAGATCCAGGCTCTACTACCCTTCTGGCAATAAACAGTAGCTATTATTCCATACACACGACATACAGACCTTGAACATTGGATAAGTAATAGCCTCAGAAGAATGAGATCAAAGGAGGGCTTCTATCTTACCTCATTTTCAAGATAAAGAAGCCATGGTGACAAAGGTAACTTTGCCTAACATCACACAGCTGGGAAGATTTATTATTTAAAACTGGATATATATCTTAGAAGCATTTGGTTTTGAGGTTAGAAGTGTAGTGTTTGTACCAGTATCTAGACATTGAATGTTCTTCCAGAATAAAGACCATCTTGTTTGCTTTATTTTACTCCTTCACCTATTTGAGAAGTCAGCAATTATTATTATTTTTTTAATGTTTGTTTGAGGAGAGAAGCGGTGACACATAGGTTGGTGAGGCGGCAGAGAAAGGAGACACAGAATCCAAGCAGGTGCCAGAGCTCTGAGCTGTCAGCACAAGAGCCAACATAGGGGATCAAACTCATGAACCATGAGATTAGTGACCTGAGCCAAAGTCGGATGCTACCAAGCCACCAATCCCTAAGCAAATGTTTATTGAATGAATGAAAGTTACTATTAAAATTGTAGTGCAGAATATGTGAATTAGTGTTTTCTTTTTTAATTTTTTTTTTTTTTTTTTTAGAGCACCTGCAAGCAGGGGAGAGTGGTGGAGGGGGAGGGGAAAGGGGGTGAAGGAGGGAGAACCCTGGGATCATGACCTGAGCTGAAATCACTAGTCAACCACTCAACTGACTGAAGTATACCAAGGCACCCTGAAAGTTGTGTTTTCTAAAAAAAAAAAAAAAAAAAATCTCATGTTAGGGCTCTGGTGCTCAGTTTGTTGTCTTGATTTCA